ACCATGTTGGCCAGGCTGGTCTCAAACTCCTGACCTCAAATGATCCACCTGCCTTGGCCTCCCAAAGTGCTGGGATTACAGGCGTGAGCCACCACGCCCAGCCCAGGCAGAGTTCTTATGTACCCCCAATGAGCCTGCCCACCTCAGCCATGCCTGTTGAGGGGGTGGGGAGATGCCCTGTGGGCCAGCCATGCCAGCGGGTACCTGGGAGGTGGGCAGCCCTGGGCCAGATCCGAGCACGCCCCTGTCTGCAGCAGCAATGCAGAGTCCCTGGACAGGCTCCTGCCACCCGTGGGCACCGGGCACTCTCCCCGGAAGCGGACCACCAGCCAGTGCAAGTCAGAGCCTCCCCTGCTGCGCACCAGCAAGCGCACCATCTACACCGCAGGGCGGCCGCCCTGGTACAACGAGCACGGCACGCAGTCCAAGGAGGCCTTCGCCATCGGTGAGAGCCGCGGGAGCGTGGGGCCTGCCGCCGGACGCCTGCCTCCGGCTCCCCTCCAGTGCTTTCCACTGGAGCCGGAGAAGGAAGCCGGGCAACTGCAGGCAGTGGCAGTGGGGTGGGTACCTCTGGGACTGATCTGCGTGGGCAGCCCGTCTGTTCCTCATAGAGGGTCTCCGCTCCCCCCGGCAGGCCTGGGAGGTGGCAGTGCCTCTGGGAAGACCACTGTTGCCAGAATGATCATTGAAGCCCTGGACGTGCCCTGGGTGGTCTTGCTGTCCATGGACTCCTTCTACAAGGTGGGCCCCCGCCCAGCTCCCCCAAGGACCCCCTTGTCCTCTCCCTGACCCTGGAACCCCTGCACGTGCAAGTCTCTGGTATCTGAGCCGCAGCGTGGCTACTCCTGGGAGGCCTAGAGCCCCTGCCCACTGGCACTGGGTGAGGGCCCTGCTGTGCCTGCAACTGCTCCACAGCCTCCCCCACCAGGTGCTGACTGAGCAGCAGCAGGAACAGGCCGCACACAACAACTTCAACTTCGACCACCCGGACGCCTTTGACTTCGACCTCATCATTTCCACCCTCAAGAAACTGAAGCAGGGGAAGAGTGTCAAGGTGCCCGTCTATGACTTCACCACGCACAGCCGGAAGAGGGACTGGGTAGGCCGGGGGCCTGCAGAGGGGGCCAGAGGGGCCTCGGGGGGTAGGCCAGGGCCCTGCAGAGGGGCCTCGGGGGGCCGCAGGCACATGAGCCGGGCTCCACAACTCCTGGGTCTCTTCACAGAAAACACTGTATGGTGCAAACGTCATCATCTTTGAGGGCATCATGGCCTTTGCTGACAAGACACTGCTGGAGGTTAGCACTCACCGGGAATGCCCACCCCACTGGTGTCTCAGCCGTGGCCACCCTGTCCGTGACGTGTGTGTCCTCCTGCCCCGGCCCCAAGGCGTCCACACCCTATAGGCCTAGGCCAGCCACTCCCTACCCCAACCCCAACCCCAGGCAGGCTACGGCTGGGTCCCTCTGCTGGCCCTGCAAGGCAGAGCTGGGGCAGTGGTTCCTTCTCCACCGGCTGAGGCCTGTGCTCATACCTGGCATGTTCTTGGCGTTCTCGTCCCTTGCTGTGGTCCTGACGGACAGGTGAGGACCCGGGGCTGGTGTGTTTGAGAGACTGTGCTGTAGGTCACAGGAGCCTTCAGGACAGAGCTGAGTGTGACTCAGGTTGGCCTGATCCCAGGGCCCAGGTCCTGCCCCTGGCACAGGCCCAGAGGACCCCACTGTCCAGCACATAGCCACCCCCAGCCTCCACAAGGCCTCTTCAGGGGCCAACTGTGGTGTGCTGAGCATGTGGATAGACCCTAAACTCGCCATGCCCCCCGTTCCCCAGTGTGTTGGTGCGAGTTTCCTCAGGCAAAGTAAAGGAGATCACGTATGCCCAGCCCCATTCCTGCCTGAGTCCTTCGCCAGCCACCATGCTATGCCTCTTCACCTAAGCCCCTGATGGGCAGCACCCCACCCCAGACACCCCCACCTCCACACTCCTCCCACCTGCCAGGGTGCCCTGGGGAAGTGGCTCTGGCCAGGCCCACAGACCAGGCGGCTTCACTGCAGGGGCTGGTCCCAGTGTCTCCATGCCGGCTGCTGGCATCCAGCCGCTCACTGGCCCACTGTCTCCACCAGCTCCTGGACATGAAGATCTTTGTGGACACAGACTCTGACATCCGCCTGGTACGACGGCTGCGCCGGGACATCAGTGAGCGCGGCCGGGACATCGAGGGTGTCATCAAGCAGTACAACAAGTTTGTCAAGCCCTCGTTCGACCAGTACATCCAGCCCACCATGCGCCTGGCAGACATCGTGGTGCCCAGAGGTGAGCCTGCTGGGCTGCCTGTTGGGTGGGTGTCAGGCAGGCCAATGGCCCCGCCCCCAGTCACCCTCCCCCATCCCGCCCCAGGGAGCGGCAACACGGTGGCCATCGACCTGATCGTGCAGCACGTGCACAGCCAGCTGGAGGAGGTGAGTGGCCCTCAGCCCAGCAGGGTCCTGTGTCCCCACGGCCTAGCCCAGCCCCACTACCCACTTCTCCACTGCCACCACCCCCAGTGGCCTGCTCCCCTCATCCCCCTGTGCTCACTGTCCCTTGCCAGATGCCAGCCCTGAGTGTCCTGAGCCTGCTTGGTCAGTCGGATCGTCCAGCCCAGACCCCATCCCGTTGTGCCGTGCAGGGCCTGGGTTCCCTGAGGAAGCTGGGGTGGGGGTACAGGTGCTCAGGACCCAGCCGAGGGTGCAGCCTGCTCAGCACACCCAGCCTGAGCTTTTGGGAATGACAGGCATGACCTGCTGGCCCAGGACTGGGGGGTTTCACTGCTGAGTGCCACGCCAGGCCAGGCTCCTCTCTTTCTCAGGGGGTCACCCCAGAAGCGACACCCCTACCAGAGGTCCCGTGCTCCCTGAGGCATTCTATGGCTGGGCCCTGGTGCCTGGGCTGGCTCTGAACACACTCCGTAACAGGATGTTGAAGGCCTGAGGCCTGCAGAACAGAGCCCAGGGTCCTGGCTCTTGCCCCAACCCAGAACTGCAGGTCTGGCCCAGGTGGTCCCCAGATTAGAAGCATTAGAAGCTTGCCACCCCCATGACTGGCTGTGTCCCTGCGGGCCTGCAGCATGTCCATTCCTGGGTGGGGGTGGCCTGGCCGCCTGCCCTGGTCACTGACGCGCCACCGTTCCCTTGTGTCTTCCTGTGTTGCTGCCACAGCGTGAACTCAGCGTCAGGTAAGACTTGCACAGCTGTCTGCACAGATGGAGGCATTTCCAACACTCCCAAGGAGCTCTCGGTCTGGGCTGTGATCCAGCCAGGCAGGCAGCCGGCTCTTCCCAGTCACAGAAGGGGAGGTGTGGAGTGGTCCCAGCCCTGCTTCTGCCTCCCCTTGCTGGCAGATGAGGACACTGAGGCACAGAGACGTGATGTAGCTTGCCCAGGGTCATGGGGTCCTGACCCTGTCCTGGCCAGACTTTGCTGAAGGCTCCCCTGACCCCTGAGTCTGTCTATGGGATTTGACCCCAGAGAGCACAGCTGTCCTCCTGAGGCAGCACTGCCAGGCCCCTGGGGCAGTGACTACAGACATGTCCCAGCAGCCAGGGAGCCTGTTGTGCCTCCTATGCCCAGCCTCACGGACCAGTCAGCTTTCCCTGGTTGCAGGTGGGAGGGCCTCGCCCCTGTCCTCCCACCCACCTGGGTCCTGCTTGCCCCAGCTCTGTCCTCGCAGCCCACACAGCTCTGCCAGCAGGAACTGGGCAACTGCAGCAAGAAGCTTGGGCTGGGCCGGGGCCATATCCCACTGCCCCTCCCCAAGGGCAGGCGTGCGGGGGGACAGCCACGAGGGACCTGCCCTTCTCCCCGCCTTCTGTGGGTTGGGAGGCTCCTGACTGAACCACCTGGTGGGAGAGCCCTTGTGTTCAGAGCACTCCAAAGAGTTTGCCAAATGCTGGAAATGCCTCCAGGGCCCGTCCACCAGCCGTCCACCTCCTGTGCCTGCATGAGTCTCTGCTTGGCCCTCTCCACGGCCAGGGAACCCGCAGGTCTTGTCCCATCAGGTTCCTCCTGAAGCTTTTGTTCTGAGAAAAAAAAAAAATTTCCAGGGTTTCAAACTTGAAAAAACACCTGAACACAGCCAGACACATTTTCCATCGTCTGGTCAGCTGAGAAAGTGTTGGCCTGTGGCTCCACTCACTTCCATCAGCCCCAGAAAGCCTTGGTGGGGGGCAGGAGGGAGGGCCAGGCAGGGCTGGGGACCTGGCCGCCCACACTCCTTCTCAGGCCTGCGGGGAACGCCCTGCTCCCCAACTAAGCAGCCTTCTCTTTGTTCTCTTCCTTCTCTTGTAAACCCCCGTTTCCTGCCCTGTTCCCTCCCTGAACATGCTCTTCACCTGGCAAGCAGAGGAAGCTACGTTGGGATATGTGAGCAGAGTGCTCTGTGGTGCTGCTGTGTGCCCCGCCTTCCTGTAGCCCCTTGTCCCTGCTCCTGCCCCGCCCCTTTCCCTGCCAGTCACGCCTCTTTTCTGCCCTGCCCCGCCCCTTTCCCTGCCAGTCACGCCTCTTTTCTGCCCTGCCCCGCCCCTTTCCCTGCCAGTCACGCCTCTTTTCTGCCCTGCCCCGCCCCTTTCCCTGCCAGTCACGCCTCTTTTCTGCCCTGCCAGACGCCATTCCCGGCCCTGCCTCTCCCTGCCCGTGTCACGCCCCTTTCCTGCTCCTGCCACACCCTATTCCCCGGCCCTGCCTCTCCCTGCCCGTGTCATGCTGCTTTTCTGCCCCTGCCATACCTCTTCCCTACCCCGCCCCTTTCCCGCTTCTGCCCCGTCACGCCCAATTCCGTGCCCCCCCCACCCGCTTTCCTCTTCTTGCCCCTGCCCCATTCCCTGCCCTTGCCCCGCCCCATTCCGCTCTGCCCCCTCCCTGTCCCACCTCTTTCTTGCCTCCGTCCCGCCCTTTTCCTGCCTGCTCCTAGACCTGCTCCTGCCTCTGCCCTCCCCAGGCTTGGGCAGCGGAGCGGGGCAGCCAAGCGGCACTGAGCCAGCTTTGCCCCTCGCCCCCATCTCGAGGGGCCACGCACCACTTCGGGGAGGAGCCAGGGCGGGGCCTGACCCCACAGAGCTTTAGTTGTTCCCCCAGGGAGCGGCTGGGGACAACCCGCCCATTCTGGGGTCTGAGACCTGTGAGCCTGCCCTGTGCCTGGCCCACTTCTGCTTCCTCTTAGCCCAGGAGGGGTCCCGTGCTGGGAGGGGCCCTCACACCCTACCCCCCAGCTTTCTGCCTGGTGGTGAGCTTGCCCCGCTGTTCGCCACCATCTTTCGCCTTTGCCTGGCAGCTCAGCCCCAGGCAGAAGTCAGGCCCGCTCCACCTCCTGCTGTGCCTGGCCCATGTGTTCCCCCCACAGTGATGTGCACGGCCGTCCTGTGGGGAGGGAGGGCTCTGGGAGAAGAGCCCCTTCTTGAGTGTTCCCCATCGGTTTGTCCCCAGGGCTGCGCTGGCCTCGGCACACCAGTGCCACCCGCTGCCCCAGACGCTGAGCGTTCTGAAGAGCACGCCGCAGGTGCGAGGCATGCACACCATCATCAGGTAGGACCCACCCGGGGACGGAGGCCCCGCGCGCGCTCCCGCTCCGCGCGCGCTCCCGCTCAACCTTCGGCCCCGCAGGGACAAGGAGACCAGCCGCGACGAGTTCATCTTCTACTCCAAGAGGCTGATGCGGCTGCTCATCGAGCACGCGCTCTCCTTCCTGCCCTTTCAGGTTTGTGGCCCGCGAGCTGGGGGTGCGTCCCGGAGCCGGCGCGGACTCCCTGCGCTCACCCAGTCCTCACCTTTCACCCCGCAGGACTGCGTTGTGCGGACCCCGCAGGGGCAGGACTACGCGGGCAAGTGCTACGCGGGGAAGCAGGTACCTGCCTGGCGCACTTGGGCGCGGGACGGGCTGCTGGGGCGGGATGTGGGTGCTTAGCCTCCCCTCCCCGCAGATCACAGGTGTGTCCATCCTGCGTGCCGGTGAAACCATGGAGCCCGCCCTGCGCGCTGTGTGCAAAGACGTGCGCATCGGCACCATCCTCATCCAGACCAACCAGCTTACCGGGGAGCCCGAGGTGCGTGGGGGCAGCTGGGGCGATGAGCCCGGGGCTGGGGGCAGAGGGAGCCGCACCTGCCGCCTGACCCGTGCCGCCCGCAGCTGCACTACCTGAGGCTGCCCAAGGACATCAGCGATGACCACGTGATCCTCATGGACTGCACCGTGTCCACGGGCGCCGCGGCCATGATGGCGGTGCGCGTGCTCCTGGTGAGTGGGCCCTGGGTAGGCGGGGCAGGTTCAGGCAGAGTTGGGATTTACCTGCCCATACACTTTGTAGGACCACGACGTGCCTGAGGACAAGATCTTTCTGCTGTCACTGCTCATGGCAGAGATGGGCGTGCACTCAGTGGCCTATGCGTTTCCACGAGTGAGAATCATCACCACGGCGGTGGACAAGCGGGTCAATGACCTTTTCCGCATCATCCCAGGCATTGGTGAGGCTGCCCAGGCCCTTCAGCCGTGCATGAGGGCAAGGTGGGTGGCCCTGGGAGGCCCCACCACACACTGGCCCGCTTTCTCCAGGGAACTTTGGCGACCGCTACTTTGGGACAGACGCGGTCCCCGATGGCAGTGACGAGGAGGAAGTGGCCTACACGGGTTAGCTGCCCAGTGAGCCGTCCCCGTCCCCGCCACCCTCCTTCTGCCTTCTGACCCAGGATTGCCGAATACAAAGATGTTAATTTTTACAATGTTACCAGTATAATTTATTTTATGCATTTTATAAAATAAAGCAAGCTTTAGAAAAATGAAGGTGTGATTGGTTAGTTACAGCACAGGAGTGGCGTCCTGGCTGAGGCTTGCGTTTGTGGAGACTCCCGTGGGGGGGGAGGGAGGGAGGGAGCTGAGGGCCCTGCCTTCTCCCATGTAGGACGAGGCATTCCCAGTCTTGCACTTGTGCCAGATCAAGGAAGGGGTAGAACTGGGCCCTGCAGCTCCCAGCTCTGCTAGATGGGGGCCCTAGAACCCATGGCTTGGTGGCCACCTGGCCTGGACCTAGAGAGGGGACAGGGCCCCCTGGTGCTCTGGGTCTCAAGAGGCAGCCTCTGTGGCTTTTCCCCCGGGGGCCAATGAGCCTGGAGCCGCTGCTGCTAAGGGCCCGCCCCGGGCACCCCTCCAGACCTGGAGGCCCACTCGCCTCCCGTGGTCTCTGCCGTGCCCACACCCGCGAGCCCGGGTTCCCTTAGGTCCTGCCTACCCTGCTCTCCGCGCACGTCCCCCTCGTGCTCCCCGAGGGGAGTCGCCGCCGCAGTTTACTGAGGAAGAGGAGGTGCACGCGCAGCGCCCACACGACGGGCCCCGGAGTGTGGGGAGAAGCCCGGATAACTCCCATCAGCCTCCCGGGCTCAGCCGTGTAGCTCAGGACTGATGCTGGGGGCTCAGCCGTGGGCCGGACGCATCTTGACACAGGACGCGGTCCTCCGGTGACTCTTCGCAGCAGCCACGTCCTCTCAAGCACCAGCGTCTTCCTGCGTGGAAGTCCACGGCCAAGGGCGCGGCGTCCTCGGAGCCTGGGACCTCGATTATGTCGGATGCCGGATCCTGGACAGCGGTCTGCTGACCAAGGGAGGGACACCGCGAGGCCTTGCATTGCAGTGGGGTCTCCCACTGCCCATGCGACCAGGCCAGGTGGGCGCTGGTCCCCACGTGGGCAGCCCATCTGCGGGTGCAGCACTCCCCGCCACTCACCCCGCCCCACCGGCCCCGAGTGGCCACGCCCCTGCCCAGTCCCCGCCCTGCCCCCCACCCTGACCCCGCGCGGCCCGGCTGGCGCTGGGACGTGGTCCCGTGGTCCTTTCGTCGGGCTCCTTGGTCGCTCCTCGGTCTCGGTCGCAAGGAGCGGAGCGCGAGGAAGGCATAGCCGCGGGGAGGGTGGTCCGACCCCGTCTCCAAGACGGGGTCCTGTTTACCAGGAGAAACAAGGGCGATGACCCTCACTGGCAGGGGTCTCGCTGCCCACCACCCAGTGTCCAGCGTTCGTCTTGCTGTTACTTAACATTGCTCTGTAAGAATCCCATATCGAAAATACTGAACATAGGCCGGGCGCACTGCCTCACACCTGTAATCCCAGCACTTTGGGAGGCCTACACAGGTTCGAGACCAGCCTGGCCAACATGGTGAAACCCTGTCTCTACTAAAAATAAAAAAAAATTAGCTGGGCATGGTGGCGTTTGCCCCTAGTCCCAGCTACTCAGGAGGCTGAGGTACAAGAATCGCTTGAACCCGGGAGGCGGAGGTTGTAGTGAACCGAAATCACACCATTGCACACTAGCCTGGATGACAGAGCAAGACTCTGTCTCAAAAAAAAAATAATAATAATAATAAACGTGGATTCTACCTAATTAAGAAAATTCAAAGACCAAACCAGAAAAAAAGTCTGACAACACTAAGGCTGGAAGGGGCAGCGAGAAGACGGGGATCCTCTTTGCAAGGCAGTGTGGGGCCACCAGTCAAGAGATGGCTTCCAGATCCCACTCCCAGCGATAACTCAGCAGCGACATTCAGGCAGCTTTGTTTCCACAGTGAGAAACTAGAACCCTGGGGTCAGTTAGCCCAGGACCGGTCGTGATTAATTCGTGACTGTTCTGTACAGAAGCTAAAATAAACTAGACCTAATATAACCACACGGCTTGTGTTTTAAATACTCCTGTATCGAACGAGAAACAGGCTGGGCGCTGTGGCTCACGCCTGTAATCCCAGCACTCTCGGAGGCCGAGGTGGGCAGATTACCTGAGGTCCGGAGTTCAAGACCAGCCTGGCCAACATGGTGAAACCCCCTCTACCAAAAACAAAAACCGGGCGTGGTGGCACG